TGATGATCCACTGGCATTAATATCTGAAATATAAAATCAAAACAATTGTTTTGATATTGACAGTCGAAAAAATTTGAATAAATTTTTCAATCAATATCATTCAATTTGTTATAGGAGACATATTTTTCAAAAATTGTTCAATTTGTAATACCTAAATGCTTGAGTTGATCCGTTGGCTGTGACAAAGTTTCCGTTGCTTTTGCGTCAGAACCTATGTGAACAAAAAATTGGTAGAAAAAAACATCATACAAACGGTCGACATTACATTCGTAAGAAGAAATTGAGAAAGTGTATACATACAATTTTTGGCCTTGAAACCGCTCGCTGAAGCTCCCATTCGTACTCGAAGCGCAAGTAGAGGATCATTTCCTTGTAATGCATTTACAGTGCTGGCTTGTAATGGTTTATTTCCAGTCCGAGCGAGATCACGTTTAACGTTGGCTGAAAGTATGCGCGCCTTTTTTTCAGTGCTTTGTATTTGGTTTCCAATTGTTCGATCGTTCGGTTTTCAACCTTTGTGAAAGTAATAATTATGCGTTTGTCAACGAGAAACAATCTTTTTAAGCAAATAATATTCAATTTTTACTGACAAAAACTCCATCCGTGTGGCAGTTTCGATGGAACAGCTCATGGATTATTTTCCATGCTTTCACTTTTTCTGTTTTATGAACATCTTTGCTGCTGTTCATATTTATTGTATCATGATGTCGATCACAAATGCTTAGCAACACCCTGTTCTCATCTTTGGAGAAATTTCTTGCACGTAATTTAGAGAATCTCGTCTCCATTGTACGTAATATTTCATCACAATTTGAAGCCGATTTTAACTCTTTGAAAACAGCACGATATCTGTTATTGAATTGCCGGCGAACAAATTAATAAACACAACGATATTTCACATTCCAAACACTCCTATATATAACAACCAGAATATAGACAAATTCAGCGTCGCCGAATTGTTGTTTATTTTGCACCAGAAAGACGCGCATCTCATCGGTTCATTTTTTGTACGGTTGTATGTGTTTCTTCGCATTGAGTCATTGCTATCGACTGTGTGCGTTGTATAACTTCGTTTGGATAAATTCTTTTTTATTTGTGAATTTATGTCATATAAAGGAATAACGGTTAGGTGCCAAAAGAAATATAAATGCAATAAGCATACATCGAAAAATATAAAACATAGCGAACAATGCGAGCAATACGCGAATGTATTGCGGTCAGCGGTTAAGCATAATGCTGAATAACAACAATACACACACACACACGAGCTGTTCCTTGCTTATGTGTTTTCTTTTTCATTCGTGCAGCGGCGAAAATCTCTCATTGGATAACCCTGTATTCATTTGTCATTCATTTGTTTCAGCGGCATTAAATTGTTTTGTTAATAATTGATGTGTTGAGTTTTTGTGAAAATCAAACTATGGAGAGATAAATCAATATGAAAATTATGAGTTGTTACAAGAAGAGTTTGACCATTTGGAGGATGAAATTCAAAGATTAACGACGGCCACCAAAAAACCATACAACATCAGAGTTCGCACAGATCCTATGAACATTTATTCTGAAAGTGAATTTCGACGACGTTTCCGATTGTCGAAAGACAGTGTGCGATACTTATATGATTTGATCGGTGCTGAGTTAGACCCATTGAAATCACGTGACGGGTTCACCATAAGTGGATTAGATAAAATTTTGCTCACTTCAAGGTATTACGCAACGGCCAGTTTTCATATTGCCACTGCCGATTTTTATGGTGTAAGCGAATCATCAGCGTGTAATATTGTGCCTATAGTTAGCGACAAGATTGCTGCTCTACGTGCACAATTCATACAAATGCCTGTTGTAGATGATGAAATTGAGCAAAACAAATGTGACTTTTTTAGCGTGGCTGGAATGCCGGGTATTATCGGAGCAGTGGATGGCACTTTGGTCAAAATCCAAGAAGTTGGCGGTACCCACAACAAAACGATGTTCTTTTGCAGAAAACAATAAGGTAATGTCGGGTCATTTGGGCCGGCTTAGCTTCTAATTTTAAACCTTCTTTTCATATGGGAATTTTTTAGAGTTTAAGGTATCGTTGGAAAGGTAACCTCCTAAGCTAACTTTTTGCCGAAGAAAGTCCTTCGATTGTGTCAGTGAAAAAAAATTATGTAAATTTTTCCAACTACCATTTTTTTGCCAAAAAAAAGGATGTCATTTGGGCCACTACAAAAAATCTGAAAAATAAGTGAAAATAAGTAATATAATGAAATAATAACACTGTATATCGACGTTTTGTTGCGTGTTTATTGATTTTTCGTCATGTACGATAAAAATTGACACTTTTTTTGGATTGTAATTCACTTTTTGTCATGTACAGAAAAAATGTTGGCGATTATTCGTCACTGTCATCTTGATCATCGACTTGGACGCTTTATTCGATTTGGACGCTTTATTCGCCTTTCTCTCAGCTTTCTTCTTTTCTGCATCCTCTCGTCTTGTCCGTTTTTCCTTCAATTCGCCAAGGTTTTCGGGCGATGTTAGCACGGCACTTTTCATTGGCTGCCGACCTCGTTTCGAAGTTTTTGGCTTTGGCGTTACTGCCTGTAATGGCCCGCTGAAAGCTGGTTCTTGGTATTCCGAATGCAACAGCGGACGAACGAACTGATTTATTTCCAATTTTCACGGCTTTGAGTGCAGTCGTTAAGACAGCTTAGTCAACTTTCCCTTGTTCGGTTTTTCGAGTATGCTTCGGCATTTTTAACACTATATTTGTAAAAAAACACGTTAAAATCTTTTTTACATTCACTAATTTCACTTGAAATACGATCATAAGTCATAAAAATGGCGTCTCTATGAAAACACACAAATCATGTTAGTGGCCCAACTGACCCGACACGAGTGGCCCAACAGAGCAAAAACGACGCCATTTTTGATGCAACCAAAAAAAAATCCATGATGAAATTTTGCCAGAATACTACGTAAATATCGAAAATAGATAAATTTTACAACAAATATACGATATTTACCTTCAACAATTGTCGGAAAA